CTCCTCCCTAAATGTTTGATAACCCCCGCCCTAACAGACTGATAGCTCCACCCTAAATGACTGATAGCTCCACCCAAAATGACTGACGGCCTCTCCCTAAAGGACTGATAGCCCCTCCCTAAATTACCAATAGCCCTGGCCTAAATGACTGATAGCTCCTCCCTAAATGTTTGATAACCGCCGCCCTAACAGACTAATAGCTCCACCCTAAATGACTGATAGGCCCACCCTAAATGATTGATAGCTCCACCCAAAATGACTGACGGCCTCTCCCTAAAGGACTGATAGCCCCTCCCTAAATTACCAATAGCCCTGGCCTAAATGACTGATAGCTCCTCCCTAAATGTTTGATAACCCCCGCCCTAACAGACTAATAGCTCCACCCTAAATGACTGATAGGCCCACCCTAAATGATTGATAGCTCCACCCAAAATGACTGACGGCCTCTCCCTAAAGGACTGATAGCCCCTCCCTAAATTACCAATAGCCCTGGCCTAAATGACTGATAGCTCCTCACTAAATGTTTGATAACCCCCGCCATTACAGACTAATAGCTCCACCCTAAATGACTGATAGCTCCTCCCTAAATGATTGATAGCCCCACCCTAACGGACTGATCGCTCTGCCCTAAATGACTGATAGCTCCTCCCTAAATTACTGATAGCTTCGCCCCAAATGACCAATAGCCCTGCCTTAAAAGGTTGATAGGCACACTAAAGGACTGATAGCCCCAGCCTAAATGAATAATAGCTCCTCCCTACATTACTGACAGCCAGACAGAGGAGGATGAAGGTTATGATAATTGATCAAAGGCTAATCAATTTTAACAAAAAAATAATGACATGTACAGATACTGTTTATAACAAGCACTACTATATACATAGACAAAGAAGAGAACATTTTGATTTGATTTCAGGCCGACTTTAACAATAGTTTCAGTCTAAGTTCAATCACCTTCAGTCTAATACTCAAGGAGGAAACCTTTGGGCTATTTGAAATTGGAGAAGAATATGTTAATGTGGAGGATTTTGATTGGCTCATGCTCGGATGTTCACTTCTTCATATAGGCCGATATGCGTTTCTGTGCCATGCATTAATAATGGCACCTTTTTATCAGTAGTATATTAGACTCGGGCCCAATGCAAATCCAAGACAATGAGCCTGTATGAGCATTAAAGTTGAATCAAACACATCAAGAAGAAAAAGAAGCCCTGCGGTGAGAGGAAGAGGCTGCGTTTGAAGTGCCTACACTTCCTGAATCTCATCAAATGGGCATGATATAACTAAAAAAGATGAAGATAAACTATTACATATCAAGATCTGCTCAGAAGCCAAGCCTCTGCCTGTAGAGCCGTGCAATATGACGATATATATTTAGTATGGACAGTAATACTTTTTCTTCATTCATTCATTCAATCATTTTCTTGTCAGCTTAGTCCCTTTATTAATCAGGGGTCGCCACAGCAGAATGAACCGACAACTTATCCTGTACATGTTTTACACAGCGGATGCCCTTCCAGCCACAACCCATCTATGGGAAACATTCATACACACTCATTCACACTCATACAATACGGACAAGTTAGCCCACCCAAATCACCTGTACCACATGTGTTTGGACTGTGGGGAAACCGGAGCACCTGGAGGAAACTCGCGCAAAGTTACATGCAAACATGCAAAGTTACATGTAAACATGCAAACTCCACACAGAAACTCCAACTTGACCCAGCAGAGGCTCGAACCAGCAACCTTCTTGCTTTGTGGCGACAGCACTACCTACTGCGCCACTGCGTTGCCCTTCTTCATTTATAAACTGTAAAAAATGTCAAGACAACTAATATTATTATGTTGCTTTAACTCATTTAAATCAAGTTTCAGCAATTTTTTTAAGATATACAAAGTTTAATGTACTATTATTGGTCAGTTTGATTTATGTAAGTTGAGATGACTAAAGTTAATTTGATTCAACTAAAACGTTTAAGAAAGCACGATTTTTACTGTGTATGAATGCAGTATTGCACGCCATTAAGGGGGTACAGACACAAACATGAATAACGGCATCGCGAGAAAGTAGCAATCTTGAAAGTACAATGTTTACATTTAGCATTTTCATTCATTCATTTATTTTCTTTTCGGCTTAGTCCCTTTATTAATCTGGGGTCGCCACAGCGGAATGAACCGCCAACTTATCCAGCACGTTTTTACGCAGCGGATGCCCTTTTAGCTGCAACCCCATCTCTGGGAAACATCCACACACACTCATTTACTCACACACACACACACTACGCACAATTCAGCCTACCTAATTCACCTGTACCACATGTTGTGGCTGGAAGGGCATTCGCTGTGTAAAAACATGCTGGATAAGTTGGCGGTTCATTCCGCTGTGGCAACCCTAGATTAATAAAGGGTCTAAGCCAAAAAGAAAATGAATGAATGAATGTTTCGCGATGATTAACAATTAAGTAGCAATCAGCTAAAGATTTACCTACTGCAGCAACAAAAGCCTCCCCAGTTCAATCCCTGGCGATCACGCAGACAGATTTCCTCATGTAATCCCAAACATCTAGTCCTTTCAGTAGCGGGAATCTCCTGCCGAGCCCCTTCTTAAACCCACAGGCCTCCATTAGAAATCTCTGTGCATATGAAAAACTATCATTGAAACAATGGCAGTAATGTCAGTGGGACGTATAAGAGGAAAATCAGTCTCCCAGCAGGCTCCAGGAGTTACAATATAGCCTCACTGCAAAAAAAAAAAAAAAGCTCTTCTTATTTAGTTTTTGACTTTCTACACTGAAAAAAAAAAATGTATGGATTTACAAAATTATTGGTCAGTCTTTATTGTGATGGTCTGTTTGTTGAATTGAGCTACATTGCATTTACACCCCGACTAATTCTCATTGGATTATTAATAGACTGCTAGGGTTAGGGCAGGGGTCGGCAACTCAAAATGTTGAAAGAGCCATATTGGACCAAAAAAAACAAAAACAAATATGTCTGGAGCCGCAAAAAATTAAAAGCTTTATATAAGCCTTATAATGATGGCAACACATGTTATATGTATTTATATTAGCTATATTAGCCTACTAAAAAAATGACTTCGTTGGCTACAAATACATACTGAAGGGTCAATCTCCAAGGGTGTGTGTCAAGGAAAGACAGTCTCGTTTTTTCCTTTCGCAACTCACAAAATCTGCTCCCAAATGCAGTTTGCATATCAACGATCGCACCTTGTAAATAATCACCGTTGAGTTAGTGATCGGTATGGGCTTCTTTGAATTC